CTCATAACACTTCGTATTCTCATTAAATTAAAAGAAATTGGGATCTGACTGAATTGATTTTTTTCAAAATGGTGAGCCGCATTCGTTGTAGCATTTGAACATTTCTCTGGACAATTTATTTTGGTATACTGCCGTGCTAAGGAAAAACACCGCATAGTGGATCGAGTCAATGGCAGAGGTCGAACAAAATTTGAAAACTTTAAAAGCTTACAACTCCATTTATACAGAACTTTAAGGTCTTAAAAGTGGTTTCATTGGTTTTGCCGTGAACTTTTCTTTCAGAAACACCCCTTAATATTTAAAATAAAAGGAACATTCTTTGATAAAATACAAATTCCATGGTTTTATGAATAAAATCCTTTCGATTTTTCAGAAATTTTTTTTTGCAATTTCACCTGAAGTTCCTGACAATTTTAAGGAGAGACATTCATAACTTTCCTCAAAAATAAACATTTTATCGAATGAAATTTTGCAACTCTCGAATGTCCATGCGGCGTTCTTCGTTAGCACGGTAGTGAGGGAAGACGAAGCAGCAGATTTCCTGAAGGAAACGGAGAGATTGTATACTTCTCGAGAATGAAAAAATTCAAAACACTTGTTGAGTAAGATTCTTGATGACTCATCAGTACACAATGGTACAAAGTACAATTTTGAAATAAATTACGATTTGGAATAAATATCTTGATTTTTGTAGGGATGGCATATGCAGTTTTAGGACGTCAATTATCAGAATATTTTCATAAAGACACCGAAGATAAAACTGCAATCTCCAATTTTTTCGGAAAATTACGTTATGTTGAAACGATTATTGCTCAACAGGTCGCGGCCTCCCAGAATAATATCAAATATTTTAGGATTTTTCATAGTATTATGAAGAGCCCATGAGCAACTTTTGAGGTAAACGCGTTTTCACACACTCACGCAAATGCAATATAAGTACTTTCGCTAAAACAACAATCCGTGAATATTTTAAACCTCCAAAGGACAATTCGCTCGCTCTTGAGTGTTATTATTTTCATTACAGAGGGGGACAATTCTCTTTTTACCCCGTCCTCCACTTAATTGTTTTTTTTCCAGCACACCTTTTTCCGATAATCTCTATCAGCACCACCGTTTAAGCATCAATAAACCCTAACACAACACACATCCTACGCCTTTGTTCGCGCTGCCCCTCATTCAGTAGCGTGGCGTGAATTGCGATGTATCGATTGTTCTGCCATTTATACCTATGGTAAAGAATCGATTATTAAGGTGTTCGCTGCGAACACCCTGTTTATCGATCCTTTGTTATAGGTTTAAATGGCATAACAATCGATACATCGGAAAGCACGCCACGCCACTGCCCTCATTTTATCAAGTTCCTACGTTCGTGCTACGTTTTTAACCCCTTCCTCCCGGTGAGATGAACTTCCATTTCCATTCTCCGATAATGGTCTCTGTCTGAGGTCGAGCGCGGAGCTAATGAAGTTGTAAAGAATTAAGCTCCAGAGAGGAGCAACGGTTCCAGGAATCCCCATTTGAAAAAATAGGGAATACGTTTTACCGTACAACAATGGCCAAGGAATCTTTGGTACTTTCATTCCGACAAATTGAGCGACATGGGTCCGGTTGCGCAAAAATCTCGATAAGCACATCAAAGAGATCTGGTATTCACAGCTAAACGCATAATTTGATTCGTCTGTAAGTCTGCATCATTCGTTCTCGAACTCACGCACACGTCATTTTCTTCTCCGTCATTAAATGACCAGCGGGTCGATTGTTGAATCGTTATCGAATGATCCTGGAGCCCGATTACTGAAAAGGATAGACAAAGCCATAGACAAAGAAGACATAGGGAGTATGGAGCTATCCTGTTGGTTGAAATGGGTGATTCCTATAGACTGAGGGAGAAAATGATGGACTAACTATCGGGTTCCTCGTGCGTTGCCGTTACTTAGTCTATTACCTACCTTCTTTGTACATTGCAACCACCCGCTTCCACCAATAGGATCCCTCCATACCTCTTTTGTCCTCATTGTCTATGGCTTTGTCTATCAATTTCAATAATCGGCCCGCTGATCGATATATCCCTATCTTAGCATTGCTTTCTATTGGTCATGGTCATTCGATATTGATTCAACAATCAAGCCGCACGTAGCAATGTGAAGTCTCTAAAATATATGGTACGAGTACCCTAAAAGTTTTCTGAGTGCAGTGAGCTGATTATTGAAATTAATAGACAAAGCTATAGACAAAGAAGACAGAAGCGATATGGAAGTACCTTATTGGTGGCACGATGGCAGGTTACCAGCGCGATGCGCGCATTGGCGCCTACAAACCTAACTAGGATACTTCACGCATTGCGCAATGCGTGAAGTATCCCTGTTAGGTTTGTAGGCGCCAATGCGAGTGCGCGTTTCGCGCTGGTCACCCGCTACGCCACGGCGCTTCAAGCCACTATTTCGCATCAGAGATGTTGCACAGTATCATAAAAAATCGAAGGCGCTCCAACGTGTCAAGAATGACAGGCATCAAATGAGAGTACGGAGCTTCCCCCGCAAAATTCATCAAGATATTACGGCACAAAAATAGAGCAGTTGTCCAAAAACTCAATGGTTGCAATGGACACACAAAGTAGGTAATAGACTAACTAAGGGCAATCTACGAGATACCCTTCAGTTAGTCCTTCATTTTCTCCCTTAGTCTATAAGAACCACTCGTTTCGACCAATAGGATCGCTCCATATTCCATATGTCCTCTTTGTCTATCGCTTTGTCTATTAAATTTAATAAAACTATACTAACTATTTTTAGGTTTCCGGTTACTCATAATGCGAATTTGCATTAATTTTAAATTAAATTTGTTTTTTAGCGGCTCTGGTGCTTGCACTAGAGCTGCTATTCCGGACGGTCCCAGCTGGGGAGTATCATTGGACCATGTTACATTGGAGAGACCGCGCGTTGGTTAATGGGAATCGGCGCCATTTTCGGCTATGTTCCTTGTCATGACTTTATTTTATTGCATATTGTTTTATTGTTAGCCAATGCTATGTTGTGTAGTGTATTTTTGGAATCATGGTGATACAGTCAATAATTCAAAACTTGTCTGTGCTTTAATCTCGTGATGGAAAAAATGTACTTTACGTTCAAAATTTGAAAATTTGAATTTTAAAGTTTTCGCGGTTAAGGAAGCTCCAACCACTGGGTTGGAGCTTCCTAGTCATATTACTCGATATCAGCTGATAGCAAACAAAGGTTACCAAGGAAACCGTAAACGTCTAATGCCGTCTGCCCACGTAGCAAATGGGAGGCGAAAATGGAAGTCATCAGTGCATCGTTGAGTGTTGACGCCCGATCCCATTTTCAGACATGTTCACACGTTTTGCTTGCAAAGAAAAAAGGCGGCAAATCAATTTTTATTATTGGACCAATGAGTGTTCTCCAATTTGAGTTTGTAAACATCGTGGTTTCTAGGTTAGGTTTTTGGCTGTGTGATAAATGATATTATGCCGTCTTTGATTTAGTTAAAATGACTCGATATATGTTATTTGATAAACGATTGGAGTTTTGATAAAGTAAGTTGATTTGAATTAAAAATTGTGTCCTTACAAAATGGATGATGAGGTGATTTGGTTAACATGGGCATTTGTGGTACTTGCGGCGTATTGGGAGTTTGTATGGAAACGACGTGGCAGTAGTCCACACTTTTTACAAGAAACTATTTTGTACTAAGTTCTGTACAAATTTTACACTATTTATACAGTAATATAATACAAAAAAATTATGTACTTTATCACAACTCACATAGCTTCAAAACAAGATAGAAAATGATGGATGCTCAGCCCCGACACATCGATGATCGCGAAATTTGCGCGGCCCGCGCAATTTTCACGTTCAACACTCACCGATGCACTGATGACTTCCATTTTCGCCTCCTATTTGCTACGTGGGCAGACGGCACACAACTACCGTGGCCATCGGGGCGATTATTGAAATGACATCGACTCTATGTCGCCGCTTACGACAAGACATATAGCCCTATCTTAACCGTGTAATATATCGCAATTCGATATTCAAAACCATTACCTACAATTTCAGATATAAAAATGCAAATTTTTTGCAGCCTCGCTAAACGACTTATCAACCATGCATTCCAAAGTTTCTTATCACAGGGCTGTGAAAATATACAATCTAATAAATACAAAATAACCAAATATCTAAAAAGACAAAATTTCAGTTACAGTCAGTTTCAGTCTTATTGTTGCACAAACTAGTTATTTGACAAAAAAAGAAGATGATCACTCAATTGAAAGAAATTGGCGCCCAATCACAACGACAAGTTAAAAAAAATACTGTGGGAGAAATTTTTTAGGATGCGGACCTCCAAAGAGCCTTCAAAATTAAAAGTATACAACAAGTGATAGTGCCATGCATTCTGCATATCAAGGGCCAATACACATTTATACACCGGCTACGTAAATCTGCTAAGTTACAAAACATGAATCGACAGTTGTCGGATTGTACATCAGTGACAAAATGTGTCTAGGCCCTCATTCTTGACTACAACTACTGTCGCCAGAGCCGCTCTCCGACGCGAATGCGTTGGAGCTTCCTGCTTGTTTATTAATTGTTTTTAAATTCAATTAATTTTTCAAAATTTTATTAATTTAAAAAAAATTGTGCATTAATTATAATGTGCTGGTTACACGCTCAAATTCCCATCAATTTCCGATCAAATGGTGACTTATGCGCACCATCTACCATCAAATTTCTGCGACTTGCAAAAATTTGATGGTAGATGATGGAGCTGTGGGGCTCATCCTTCATCTGATTTCCACACAACCGTGCTTATTTCATGCTTATTTCAATCAACACGCTCTATTAATTAATTTTACTCATCAATCTAAATAACTCTCGACCGCCATCATGGTCATTATTTTGATCGGAATTTGACGGAAATTTGAGCGTGTAACCAGGCCAAAATATTCAAGCCGGAGGAGATATACAGGATGTTGTACTGACCTGTCTAACACTCTCGTTAGGCCACGTTTCCTCGCAGTAGTAGCGGGAGCCGAGCTGCTTGTGGTGCATGTACCAGCCGTAGGGGAGCGTGACCAGGAGCGAGAAGATCCAGATCCCGATGATGATGCTCAGGCACGTGACGAGTTTCATCCGCGGTTTGAACGGGTAGATGATCACGAAGAACCGGTCGATCGCGATCGCCGTCAGGGTCAGCGTCGAAACGTAGACGCTCGTCCCTTGCGCGTAGGAGACCAGGTGGCATAGGGCTTGCCCGAACACCCAACGACCTGAAATCAAACAACGGAGAAGAGTTAGAGTTCCCTCCAGAAGTCGTGTTTTCCTAAAAATTAATTTTTCAAATAATTCAGGAATATATAGCGAGAAACAAGGGACATTGGTTCATTCAGCAGCCAATTATACATAAGAACACACCCACAACATGTACAAGGATGAATACCTTCTGTATCTGATAAGGAAGTTTATTAGACCTCAATTTTTCTGCACCTTTTTTGGAAAATTGAATTTTTAAAAAAGGGATGTTCTTTCCGAGCTGGAAAAATGTGTTTTATAAAAACAACTGTAGGAACTGAAAAAATACCAAAGTTATTTTTGGCAGTTCTCAATTTTTTAGCAAGACAACTTCTATTTTCAGTTTTTTTTCATATCGTAGATACATAGGCAAAACTAAGAGGTAAGACAAAATTTAAAAATAATTGGACGTATTTCTGCCAAACGGAACTATAGAGGAGTGAGAAACATTGGGTTTGCTCTAGAAAGCTGGGTAAGAAACAATGTTAGAGTGGGCGTGATTCACTTTCGAGATTCAGGAAAGCGAGATTTCACATTCTGTCAAACGGAACTATGTTCCAACTGAATGTGGCACAGCCATAGGCATGTGACAAGAGCGATGTGAACAGGGCTCATGAGTTAGAGACTCCCACAGGAAGCGCCGCTGACGTCACTGGCGCTTTATAATTCGCATTTATTCTTACTATCCTCAACTTCCGAGCACACCCCTCCTACCCCTCCTGTCTCTGGTTCCGTTTGGCAGAACGACGTCCAATTAAATGTTGAAAATAAGAGTAAATTGAAAGAAAAAAAATTATTTTGGCTGTCACCAGCCTCCTTTTTCTGCACGTTGGACTTATCCTCGCGGACGAACCGTTATTCAGGATTGCGCAAGGAGGCGACGCATAGCTCTTTAATTACTCTCCTAAACGGCGAAAAGGAGATCTAATTTATCTCTGTGTTGCTTAATGGCAAATCTGTGAGCTGAGATTCCCCCGAAGACGCTGCGCGACGCGACACGATGCTGCAAAGAAAGGAATAATACATCTTGCGCGCACCGAGCACTTAACCGGACCCGTTTCTGAGTAATTACTTCCCGGAAATTGGGAAAGTTAAAGTTTCGCAGCCGTCACCGACTCGACCCTAAGTGGTGCGCGCCTTTAATAAAACTACGCTCCCACAGACAGTTGGCGAAGAGATATTTGCCGCACAGCCGCGCACTTGGGTGCAATTATATTGATCTTGCCTCTTTTCACTATTGCGGTGATATATACGTCATCAAGAGATATGACAACGGACAGCAGGCCTCCCGTCTTCCGGATGATTATCCGGAATCGAGAGATTTCTCCCTTCCCGGATATTATACCGGAAGATTTGCAAATCGGGAATTTTTCCGGGAGATCTGGAAATAGAGAATTTCCCGGAAGATTTGGAAATCGAGAATTTTCCCGACAGATGTGCAAATCGAGAATTTTTCCGGAAGTTCTGCAATTTGAGAATTTTTCCGGAAGTTTTGCAAATCGAGAATTTTTCCGGAAGAATTCGGGTATTTTCCCGGGAAATTTAGTTTTGAATTGCGGGAAGCCTGACGGACAGGTTATAAATGGACGTATTTCTATCAAACAGAACTAAGTGCATTAAGACATGAGCCCCGAAACCCATAAGAATACATGCATAACAGGGCTCACGCCATAATGCACATAGGTCCGTTTGACAGACATACCTCCAAATCATTGCACTCGGTCGCGCTTTTCTGCAGCGTGACCAAGTTCGTGTCGCTCTCTGTCCGTGGTAACGTGGCTTCAGGTAATCCTGGCGGCGCGGACTTAAGATTACTTTGACGCCACAAAAAATAAGTTCACACCTCGAACTGAGTCTGAACTTTCCTCGAGCCCTTTGTACCAGCATTTTGCGGGTGGAGGGCGCAAAAAATGGAAGTATTCATGCTGAAAGGGACTTTGTTCAAATAGATTAAATTAAAGAAAGCTACGAGAGATGCAAATCTTAAGCACATAGTTTCTATTTTAAATTTAATTTCTTAATGGTTTTTTTTTTCGCCTGACTACATCTAAATGTCAGATAAAGGACCCTATGAGACGTCTCAAAGCAGGGTAAACCAAAGCCCAAAGTAGGAAGAATGATGAAGAAAACCTTGGAATGTTCCTGGTTCGTTGAGATGTAAGGCATTTATGGGAGTTTCTTTGTTTCAGGAAGGCATACCTGTAAAGTTTCAAACCAGAATGTAATTCAGTTTTCAGTCGAAAGATTCACTTCAGGACATCAAGCAACTATATAATAAAGTTACATTCAACTTGATCAAGACAGACCATGCTGATTTCCAAGATCTGATAAAATTTTATCAAAATTTGAAATATGTATCAAAATTGATCAAAGACAACTTTACAGTAAAATATTTTTCAGCAAATTGAAGCAAACATTATCAATATTTGATTGAACGGCCCGAAAAGTTCAATGAGAATCATTGATGTTAATAAATGAAAATTAACCGATCGATAAATAACCTCACGAGGTAAGGATTTATCGATTGAGAACAGTGAATGAAACAGTGGCAAAAATTTGATACCTAAAGAACCAGCATAATGGATACATGTAGCAATGTAGCATGAGGAACCTACTAGAAATAACCTTCTTCATAATTATCTGAAAAATCTGTCAGAATGGCAAATATTTTCTGCTTCCCACCCAAAAATTGTTGATTTGAAAAGAAAATAAGTTTGCAAACTTTAATACCGTACTTATATTGAGTATTCTTAAAAGAAAAAAAGAAGTTGCACAATTTTGAAGACACTGTATTCGCACCTGTTTCTTTTTGCTAAATGCGCTCCAGAGCGGTTACGAAACTTAATTGATGATCTCCCATTCTCTTCTCCTCTCCCTTCCTGCTCCACCACACCATCTCTTTTCCTCCTCTTCTGCTCCAGATGTCTTCAGATTTCTGATGCGATTTCATCTGACATTCGTTAGGAGTGTTGGACTGTTGCACATACGTGGTTTTTCAAAATTTCCCTTAAAAGTAAGAGTCTCATGCTCAACTCAATTTAAGTCTGGGAAGCCGTGGTCTAAGAGACCCGAAACTGTCATGCTAATTGGAGATGTTGCATGTGTGAGGGATTTGCGATTTGACCATTGGTTCTTATGTAAAAGTTCGCGAGAAACACGATAGCGCCACTGTTTTTCTCTGAAATCAACTCCCAAGCTCAAAAAAAAGCTCTCAAGTTGAGGCCAAAATGGAGGGGATATCCCACGCCATCCTGAGAGTCCACGTCTACATCAAGACAAACTCTCCATGCAAAGATAGAGAGCAAATACATTGACAGGGCTGCCACTTTATTTGGGTACTCCAAAACTGAAAACACGGCAAACCAGCTAATGTATTTGCTCCCTATCTTTGCATGGAGAGTTTGGTTTGATGTAGAGGTAGACTCTGAGGATAACGTAGAATATCTCCTCCATTTTGGCCTTAACTTGAGAGCTTTTTTTGAGCTTGGGAGTTGATTTCAGAGAAAACCAGTGGCACCATCGTGTTTCTCGCAAACTTTTACATAAGAATCAATGGTCAAATCGCAAATCCCTCACACATGCAACATCTCCATTCTAGAGGAAACCAGGGGGTTCAGCACCTTGACCGCCTCGCGGTCCAATCGCCCGAAGCGTTTCGCGCTCCTTGAGCGTTATGCGATACTCTTAAGATTTAATATTATAGAATACAATAAAGACCAAAATTGTGCTACAGGCACATGTTTCCCTCCGATTCAGACAACAAAATAAAGATTTTCAGCTTTGATTCCATATTTTTTAACCGGCATATAGCTCGCTACGATAATTCGAGAGCACAGACCTAACGATAGAAATGAAGTTCCAGGGTGTAGATAGGAATCCTGAGAAGCGGGCGGGATTTTTCTTTGAAACGCCTGCACGAACCCCGCTCGAAGTTGCTTCCAGGCTGAGGAGAAGGCACTTTAACAGAGCCATAACAATGAAAATATAACTCGATCCTCAGAATCGTCCACGGCCTTAAACCGTGGTTGCGGAGCATTCACGCTCCTCGATTCACTAGCCAATCAAATCAATTTATCACGGAAAAATGGAGCTGTTGCACACCAGAGATACAGCCAATCGAGTTGAATTTGTAAACGTAAAGTGGTACAAAATTCACGCTGAGCACATCATTCGAAACGTCAATAATCCACTACTTTACGCACGATTAGCGTGGTACGTATCCCGTATTTTCAAGGAACCTGTCATAAAAATGCCCCTTTTTAAGGGAAACACAGGGATTTCGTTCAAACGTGGCCTGAGCGAAATCTAATGTCGAGACAATCCTCCACTGAAAGTTCAGCTTAAGTTCAAAGCTCATTTTGAAAATACAGCGTTGCGAAGTTTACATTTTACCATTGGAAAATGCTAATATTTTGATGTTCTCAGTTAAAAAAAAAAAAAAAAAAAAAAAAAAAAAAAAAAAANAAAAAAAAAAAAAAAAAAAAAAAAAAAAAAAAAAAAAAAAAACTTGAGTTGATAATGAATGCAGATAATTACTTCTTTTATGCTGAACATGAAAGGTATAGCAAGTTAGACTGTGGAGAGGTCTTCCCTGCGGCAGTGATCACTACTTCCTTGGGGCGGCCATAGCTTTCCCTGTGAGGGGCTGCCAAGAGAACAGGCTAACACAACAGCACAAGTGGACCGTATAAGGCTTGTGAAGTATAATATCGAAAGTCTGCAGCATCCAAGTGTTAAGGCACTCTACGGACGGCGATTGGACGAGAAGTTAGGTGAAGCAAGGGATAGTGATACCGAAGGCCAGTATCAATTTTTAAAGGATTGCATTCATTCGGCAGCAATGGAAGCTCTACCTTACTGGTGGGATGAACAGATAGAGAGTGAGATTAAGGATAAGCGTGTAAGCGTGTGTGTAATATCATCGGTTCCTTTCTTCGAGGAAGGTTGAGGATAAGACGTCCTACAGGCACGCTCAGGC